AGGGAGAGAGGCACCTGTCTCAGGTACAAAATGTAAAGGGATGTTAAAAAGCTCAGTCATCAAAATGAATAACATCTGGTGCAATATTTTTTAAAAACAAAATTAGTGCCCCCAAAATCCACGATGAAGGAAACATTACAATTTTCAAAGAAAGGGGCACCTGCCTTTGGTGGCTCAATTGGTTAAGCATCTGCCTTTGGCTCCAAGGTCATGATCTTGGAGTCCCAAGATCGAGTCCAGGCTCCCTACTTAACAGGGAGTCTGCTTCTCCCTCTCGCTCTGCCTCTCCCCGTCCCCCTGCTCTCCTCTGTCTCTGTCTCTGTCTCTCTCTCTCTCAAATAAATAAACATAATATTTTTAAAAATAAACATAAATAAAATTTTCAAATAAGGACAGGATTCCAAAAGGGCCAGGTTGAGGGTAAGACACATGGGGTGAGTCATACATGCGCAGAATCTAATCCTGATTCTGAGATGTTCACTCAACTACAGGGACACTTCCTGGGCCAGGGCTCTGTTCTCACTGGAAGCCAGAACCCAAAACTGGTCTGCTCATGACAAACATTATGAAACAATTCCCAGTAGGTGCCTCAGGGACCACCCTCTGCCTTGGCTGTGGAGACAGAAGCCCAAGCCGGGACCTCACAGCCAGGAGGTAACACCTGGCATGCAATCCCTGACACGACGTACTCCCAAGCGGACCTAAGTTCGAAATCACCCCTTGTATGCTATGGGACCCTGAGTGAGGTACATTGCCTCTCAAGCCTCAGTGTCCCCTCCCGTAACCCCAGAGCTAAAAAGACCTAGCACCCAGGATTCAATAAGGTAATATTTGAAGTCCTCCAGCACCTGGCTGCTGGAAGTGTGGTCCCTGGACCAGCAGCATCAGCATCTCCTAAGAACTCATTAGAAAAGCAGAATCTCAGCTGCATCTCAGACCCACCCAACCCCCCTCTCCCACCAGGGATTGGCATGCGCGGAAAAGCCTGAGATGCTGCTCAATTCTTGGACTTTGAAGATGCTCAATAAACAAATGATAGTACTGCCCCTTTGCCCACCCACCAAACCCTGAAGGAGATCCTGACTTCGGGCAAGGGGAAAAACTTGAGCAATAGAGAGAAGAAATCTGAGGTGAGCACCTCATTAAATATTAAGTGGTCAAGTTTTAAAGCTGAGCTCCTTCTATACAGAACCATATCAGCCCTCCCTTGTTCATCTGGAAAATGGGAATAATAGCAAATACCTTACATGGTTGTGGTGAAGACGAAATCACATAATATGAGTAAAACCTTAGCACGATGCTTGGCACACAATAGGTGTTCAGTAAATGCTTGCTGGTTGTGGGAGAGGTGGAGGGGGTTCAGTAAATGCTTACTGAGCACAGCCCATGTGATGAAATAGGTCATGTTTGCATAGCTCCTTGCCACTTACATTTTCAGGGACTGAAATATACCACTTATACCATTTCAATTGACTCTTCTCATAACCTCTTGGGCACGATACCATGAAATATATTCATTTTACAGAGGGAAAAAAATCTAGGCTCAGAGAGGTAGAGTGATTTGGCCAAGTAAACGAGGATTTTTTTTAATTAATTTATTTTAGAGAAAGAGAGAAAACAGGAGCAGGGGGCAAGGAGCAGAGGGGACAGAGAGGGAGAGAAATAGAGGGCTGGTGGAGCACAGAGCCCCACTCAGGGCTCGATCTCATGACCCTGAAATCATGACCTGAGCTGAAACCAAGAGTTGGGTGCTTAACTTATTGAGCCACCCAGGCACCCTGCAAACCAGGATTTAAACCCCCAGAATCTGACACTAAAATCTGTGCCAGCAACAGAGCATCCAACCAGTAACCATGGGGAAAGGTCAGAAATGGAATAAGATAATATTAGACTCTAGAGATGGTGTTGTTCAATCTCCTTATTGTACAGAAGAAAAACCTGTGGCCCAGGGAGGGGAAGAGGCTCATCCAAGGTCACTCAGAGTGGCAGCCCAGGGGTCAAAAGCCAGCTCACCAGGCTGCAAGTCCAGAGTCCTATCCTGAGTCCACACCCATGTCCTGCATCTGATTAGCCAGCCTCTGCCTCATGAACCCCAGGCTGTGCGGTGGGGGTGCCCCAGGCTGGTTCCCTGAGCAGGTCTAGTGGACCGGAGGCATTCCAGCCCCACCTTCCTTTCCAGGTCAATCTGGAAGAGAGTGCAGAAGCCCTCGTTGCCAAGGTGAGGGCTGTGAGGTTGCTAGGACACAGTTTGGGAGCAGTCAAGTGGCAGAGGAGGGCTTGGCTGGGGCTGGGGCTGGGCCTGGGACAGAGACTAGGACCTGCCACAACCTTCTTGAGGGTTGGGGAGGACCTCCAATTCCACAGGGCGGATCAGCCAATGGGAGAGTTGATTTTCACAGACCCTCCATCTCCATGCACCACCCAAGCCAGGCAGAGTCCGATTCTCCCTCTAGCCCAGACCTCATCAAGCATAAGTCCTGCTACCAATCCTCCCATCCCCCCACTCCTGCCCCTGCCCCAGGAAGGAGCTCCCTAGAGCACAAGGCTGAGCCCTGCAGTGGCTCTCCATCATCCTCTGGGTGAAGCCCGCGCCCCAATATAGCTCCTTATAACCTGCCCCAAAAACTTCCACCCTCATCTTTCTCCCCAAGAATCTGGCCAAACGAAATTCCTCCAAGTGAGACCATGCTTCCTCCACACCTTTGCAGATGCTCCTCCCTCTAACCTGGAAAGCTCTTCCTGCTCCTCTGTCCTCTTAGCCTCAGCTCAAGACTCACCTTCTCAGGGAAGCCCTCCCCTGATACCTCCTGGCAGTGTGGCACCTCTGACAAACGTGCATTTAGGGGAACATCACACTGTACTTTAACTCTCTGCTTTCCTGTTTGTGTCCCCGTTAGACTGGGCTTTTTACGTCTCACTCCTAGAGTGAGACCCAGGTTCCAACTGTGCAAGATCAGGACTTCTCTGAGTCTCTGTGCCCTCCTCTGTGTGATGGGGATTGTGACCTTGGCCTTGCCAGGCAAATGGGAGCATTCACGCTTGTGGATGTGAATGGCTTGGCCCATCACAGAGACACTGAAAGTGCTGCTGCTGTCGCCCTGTTATGTCAATACCACGAGCACCCAACCTAGCATGCTCACCTGACGTGGTCTCAGTGTACCCCTCACCTGCACCGGAGAACAATAACTGCCGTGTGAATGGGCTCGGAGAACAGTGAAGCCCCATTCAAGTGTACATCATAATAATTCCAATCCTTAGCACTCTGGATCCCCACAAGCCCTTGGACCTGAGTCATCCTGACACACTCTGCCTGCCCCTTTGAACAAATGGCTTTATTCACTGAACAAAAGTTGAAGTACCTACTCTGTGTCAGGCAGTGTGCTAGCTGTTGGGGACTCAGCAGCAGGTAGACGTTAAATACATAATTGCACCACCTTTCTTTCCTGGCCTCCTTACAGGTCAGCCTCCCCACCCGGAGCACAGATGGCTCTGCCAGAGGCCAGGGAGGCCACCTTTTGCTCCAACGTGCTCCCTGGGCAGTCAGCAGGCTGGCAAACACTCCCTCCCCACTTCCCCACCCAGCCAGTCAGAGAACAGTCACAGCTGCCCGGTTTCTAATCTAGTCACTAGTTTTCAATTCAAGTATTATCAGGATCCTGAGAGCCAGAGCATACTTGCCCTTTTCCCTGCGGTGTCGCCAGCATTTCGAACACAGCCTGACAGCCATTCAGCCACTATTTACTCATTCATTCACTCACCCAACAGATATTTATCAAGTCCTGCTAAGTGCCGGGCTCTGGGGAATCCGCGGGGCCCTTCCTCACTCAGCTCCTAGTCTAGTGGTAGGACTGGGACAGGAGGAGATTGTAGGAGGAGGTAAGAGTGCCTTGGAGCTGTGGAGACCGAGAGGTTAGGTGCCGTGTTCCCAGGATGGTCCCAGAAGACCACCAGTCCAAGGAAGGCGCTAGGGTCAGCTGATTGGTTGGAATCCGTGCTTCACCCGTACTGTATCTATGATCCCGGGCACATCCTCAGTTCCCATTTCTGGAAATGATACAACAATGTTCCCTTCCTTGAGTCACAGCAGGACTGTGGTTAAAGGAGGGAGGGAAAACAGTGGACGTGGCACCATGTTGTACACAGGTGCCTGCGGTTGCTGGAGCTTTAGCATCCAGCCAGGAGAGGCCCTGATTGCGGGGCGCTGGTGGGGGGATGGCCTAGAGTGGGGACTGTGGGTTCTCGCCTGGCCCCACACTCACCCCCAGGGGAAGCAGAGCAGATGACCTCCCCTCTCTGCACCTGTGTGCTCCTCTGTAAAATGGGAGAGCATCAACCTCAGTAACCCTAACTCTGAGAAGGCAAACCTAGCAACCTTGCAGAGCACCGTTCAGTCGACTCATGCAAGGCTCTGGAGATGTCATGGAACCTGCCCTTGCCTTTTACGGAATGTTTGGTGCCTCCCAGGGGAAAGCAAGGGAAGGTAACTAAAATTTGAGGGGTTACAACGTAATAGATATCTTCACAGATATTCCTTGTCAACAAGGACAACAGTGATTACAACAAGCGCTTATGTGGCACTGAATGTATGAGGTCAGCACTGTTTGCAGTTCCATTTTACACATAAGGACACCGAGGCTTGGAGAGATGTCATGTATTTTTCCCAAAGCTAGAATTCAAACCCAGATATGACAGTAAACCCCATCCATTGACATGGATCAGAAATCACATTTAAACCAAAAAGCAGTGTGGTCAGGGGTACCATACAAGCATTGCCTGAGCCAGTGCCCAAGATGGGTAACTGGTGTCAGGGGAGTAGGTGAGGTGGGGCCAGGGGTTGGGTCTGATGCCAGGTAGGGTCCCATCTTGCCCAGTCCTTTGCTGGAACCCAGGGGATCAGTGGTGGCCTTAGGAGAAGCAAGAGCATGTCCTCAGTGGAGTCTGGGGTTCAGTGCCCTTTCAGAAAGCCAGCTACCTCAGAAGTCCTCTCTTCTCACCCTTAGCACCCTCTCTCCTGCTCCAGGAAGCTGTACATTTCTGGCATGCCACCTGCTCTGCTCGTTGACTGAAGGCTCCTATATCTCAGCTCAGCCAAGAAGCAAAGGTAAGGGTACTTCCCAGGGTCATGCCCATGGGTGGTGTTCAGGGCCTCCACTCCTGGGGCCCTATTGAAGGAGGTCATGATGACATTTCCCCTGTGATCACCAAGAACACTTCTAAGTAGAAAGGGGTTGGATCAATGGGGCAATGTGGTGGAATGGTGCTAGCATGCATCATCAGAGCCATTTACAGCAGAGAGGTACTTTCTTGTGCATTAGACCTTTGGGAGTATTGTCCCCAGTTTACAGATAAGGAAGCTGAGGCACAGAGAGGGGACAGCATTTACAGCTGGCAGGTGGCTAAGCCTGAATTCTCACCTACATTTTCTTGACTGTATCCCAATATGTGGCCTGTGCATGTTGTCTGTGCTTGGTACATGCTTTAAGAATGAATGAGTGAATTAGTGAGCTGCTCAAGATCAATGGCAGGGCAGAACAAGGCTGGAACCTGGCTCTCCTGTCACCCCAGTTCCTATATTCTTTCTGCTAACTGTGGCTTCCTGCGCTGATGAGCTCAACACTACCCACCCCCCAGCCTGCACCCTCACCCCAGCATCCCAAACATCTCAAATTGGTGTCCATTACCCCTCCTGCTGGAGACAGAGGATGAAGGTGGAGTGGTTGGCCTCAGCCCCTCTGTCAGATGGCCCCCAAGCTTGGATCACACCCAGAGTCCCTTCATCCACATTGCCTCTTCCCCACCACCCACTACCAGTAATCCAATGTGCATAGTTGTAAACTTGTTTCTTTAAATAAACAGTCTTGAGTTTCATACCAAATAGTCTTTTAAGAGGAGGAACGTCTCCAGGCCACCTCGTATTTAGCATACAGTGAGCCACATATTTGCACAGAGAGAGTGTGTGTGGATATAGAGATCGCTTGATCGCTATAGATATCGTTGCTCATCCAGATGGGAGCTATTTATGATGCTGAGTCACTCGCAATGAATGCCACTGAGGGATTCCAGGCTGGGCTCTGAGCCCCAGCACCACAGACCTCATGGCTCTCTGCCTCATCCTCATTCTTCACAAATGAGAGAGACAGAGGGAGAGTGTCCCCCATCTCAGTGCAGGGACAGAAGGAGACATTTTTGCCACAAGAAATAAAGACTTTCTCATAACCAGGTTCTATTTCAAATCCTTGTCCTCCATCCAGAACACCACACCCTTACAGAGCATCTAGTCCAATTCCTTCCTTGTATAGGAGGGAAAACTGGGACCCAAAAAGGGAAGGACCTTGACCAGTGTCACACAGCAAGTCAGTGACAGAACTGGTCCTAGAGCTCAAGTCTTCTGATTGCTGCATGGGGGCTCTGTCCTTTTCCCTGGCCATCTTCTTCAGTTTTATCTCCAATGTCTTAGCATTTCAACCTCTCCAGAGCTTCCTGTCCTCTGAAAACTTGGAGATATCACTGGGTACTTCTTTCTTTGGGCTTCTCCAGGAGAAGAGCTAAGTCTGTTTTTTTGGGGGCTATCCCCCATACTTACTGCAAGAACTGCACACACTGGGCACTCAATGCATGTGCCTCAGGTGTTATATAAGACCAAACTCAGCACCAATTCTTGGGGAACCCTAGTTTTCATTTGAAAAAGCATCCATTTATCCCCACCCTCTCTTTCTTGTCTCTAGAAGCCAGTTCTCTATCCATGCAAAAATAGACTCCCTCCCACTCAACACCCACCTCTGCCCAATTGTATAATGAATCAATTTTATTAATAGGCTTTGGGATGGAAATTTGACAAAGGCTTTTTGTGAAAGTCACCCTTTATCTCCCTATATAGTTCACTTCTCAAAGAATTCTAATAAACTGGCTCAGTGAGATTTTGCTTTATATAAAATATTCATTAATCCACTTTCCCTCCATATGAAAGGTGTTTGTTTAAACAACCTTTATTATGGATGCTATCCAGTTGTTTCAAGAGACAGTGGGATGAGAAAGAAAGAACATGGGCTTTGGAATTAGCACTGGTTTAAATTCTAACTGGCCATGTACTGGTTTTGTATCTACAATGGTTGTTGTGAGAATTAAATGAGATAATGTCTATAAAGTGTCTAGCACATGGTAAGTGCTCAATGCAAGTTTGTGAATAAGTGAATGACTCAGGACCCATATGAACCATATCCTAAAGGATAAGGGACCAACTGACCTGCAATCTGAAGTCTTGAAGTCATTCAATCCCAGGAGGGTAGTTTGAGAAGTCTTGAGGAGCAAACTCTCTAGATATTACATTGCTGGTTGCGATGTTTCCAGGCTAGAAAAGGAAGCTCTTTCTCCAACCCCTTGTGCAAGGATTTCCCTCAGCTCAAGGAAAAATCAGAGTCTGGAATCTAGGTTCAAAACAGAAGACTCCTTGAGAGTAAACATTGTGTCTTATTAACTGTTGGATCCTACTTCTCCCAAAACTAGAACCTAGCTCAGGGTAGTACAAATAGGCAAAGAGATACACAGTAAGTATGCATTGAATTAAAATGAGTGAGTTGAGTTGAGTTGAGTTGGCTTAAATTGACTTGATTTGGGTTTGCTAATAGACCCAACTCTAGGACCTGCCAAGGAAAAAGCTTCCTAGCACTCAAGCTTAGCTTAGCCCAGGTCCCACAGCACAGGAGAAACCCCAAGGGTGATGGTTCTGGGGACATTCAGGGCCTTCCAAAGATGGAGGCATCTTGGAGAGAGCCAGGACTATAGCCAGGGCTGAGGAAAAAGGGTAGAAATTTTGGCTTGGTCAGAGGGCAGGCACCATAAGGCTGAATGTCCTTTAGTAATCTTTAAAACTTATTGGAAATCAGACAGGATTTTCCTATATTTTTAGAGTGACAGATTCTTCTCTTCATGGCAGAGAAGGGTCCTTTAAGGGAACCCACTTCAGTGGGAGATCTCTAGGTTGGAGCAGGGGGTAGTCATAGACTGCCATGAGGGTAGAAGGCAGGCTGAGGCCAGGAGCCAGTCAGAGCTCCATATTGCAGATGCTGGCACAATTGTAAATTGGAGTGAGGTTTTGGGGGTCTGAGTATGGTATGATTCTAAGTCCAGACTTAAATCAGGCATTAGTTGCTAAAGGAACAGTGACCCAAGAACCATAGGGGGGAATCAGATAAGACCTCTGGCACCACTGGAGTCCCTTCATTGGCTCCATCTCAGGCACTGCTTCATACAGGATGCAACCAGGTACCTAAAGGAGACAGGACCTGAGACAACAATAAGACTCAGATGAACAGGGGCTGCTCCACATCTTATTCCATTTGACTGTGTCTATCCGTCTCACATATGGGCTTGGGAACCCATCAAAGACACTACCTCTATTCCTCTTGTATTATCTAAAAATATGGATACAGGTTAGACATCAGTGTTCGATGAATGAAAAATTAGGTCAGAGGAAGCCTTCAACACCAATGGAAGATTTTAAGATAGTAAGATGGAAAATTTTAAGATTTCAAAATGGCAAAGGTCCAAAGTAGCAAGGCCCAGCCAGGAAAGATAACACAGACCCAGAAGTTGTCCCTCAGGAATTTGGCTCATGAGGAAAATTGGACTAAATGAAGTCAAGAGATAGGGTGGTGCTATGTGGGTTCAAAATAACATTCCTCAGAGTCCTGGGCTTCTGAGACAGGTTCTCAAGGGCCATTGTATGATGGATTAGGGCAAGAGAAGTTCCCCTCCCCCAAAAAAAAGAAGCTCTGCATCCAACAATCCCATTTAAATAATTCTTTAAAACCCCAATTTTATCTGCTTTATATATTGGATTTCCAAACACATTTTCATTTTTAACGGATTCTTTGGATTTAAAAAAAAATCCATTTGGAAAGGACTGATGTTGAAAGAGCCTTGGCATTTGGAGTTAGACTGTCTGGATTCAAATCTCAGCCCCAAGCCTTTCTGCCTGTGGGACTTCAGGAAGAGAATCCTTTGAGCCTCTACATTCTTACCTATAAACCATCCTTCCAGAAATGTGTGAGAATTAACTAAGGAGCTACAGTATTTCCCAAAGGCTGGTACATGGGTGATTGATGGTGTACACAATGATTTTAAGTGGTAGATGGAAGAACATTTATTATTTTAATAGCTCACAATTGATGCATGTTAGAAAAATATAACTGACGCACCGAACTCTGTGATTTATGGAAAAAATATGGCATATCCTTTTGAAATAAAATTCTGAGCTTTCTAAAAGACAAATCAATTTAAAGAAAACTACAAGGTAAATGAATAGTACCGATATGGCAGAAATTATGAAGGTGGTGGTTGAATGAATGAAATGTAGGGAAAACTGAGATAATCTGAGTAAAATACCTATCAGTGTCTGTCACTTAGGAAGGGCTCTAAAGACTTCATTCTTGTATTCTTCTCTCAATTCAAGGGCTAGACCTAGAACCAAGTTCATCAACTGGGGCAAGGTAAGCACCCAGGCCTGGTCAGCTTGGAATAGTGTGGTGGGTACAAGTGGGGAGCCATGGTCAAGTCCGGACAGACAGCTAGCCAGGGGATTTTGGAGCAGGCACAGGCTAGAGAGGAACTGCTTTCCACAGGGTGGGGACCAACCATCAGTGGTCCATGATGCCATTTTAAGAGTTACTCAGGCACAAGTTAAGTAGCCCTGGGAGAGAGTTATCTCCTTGTCGGTTGATTACATCAGGGAAGAAATCTCAATTGAGGTTAGCATCCACTTAATGCCTCTGTAACACTTACTGGTCTTCCTTTTGGACAAAGAGGCCCAGATTTCCAGCACAGTATCCCTCTGAAATTAAATAACAATGTTGTATTTTCTGTGTCCTTGTTTTTACCATTATCTTCCATTTATAGAACATGATGCAGGTTTCTTATTTATGAGAATGATCAGCATGTTCCCCTTAGATATATATGTATTAAAGGTTAAAAAGTCAGTGCGTTATTTTTGTTTGGTGTAAAGTGAGTAATAGTACAAGATGATATATGCATGGAAACAAGATAAAGGTGGTCTTGACCGAGAGAAAAGCCAGCCTGTCAGAGGCACTGAGAGGAGTCCCACAG